CGGCACTGCCGACACCGGGAGACCTTCCTGGAACCTGGGAAATCCCCCCGGAACACCGTGATTCCAACCCGGAACCCCTTAAATCCCCCCTAGAACGCGGTGATTTCGCCCTGGAACCCCGTGAATCCCCCCTGAATCCCCGTGATTCCAACCCGGAACCCCTTATATCCTCTCTGGAACTCCGTGATTCCACCCTGGAAACCCAGAAATCCCCCTGGAACCCCGTGATTTCACCCTAGATCCCCTGAAATCCCCCCTGGAACACCGTGAATCCCCTTGGATCCCCTTAAATCCTTTCTGTAACCCTGTGATTCCACCCTGGAACCCCATAAATCTGCCTAGAACCCGGTGATTCCACCCTGGATTCCCCTATTCCACCCTGAAACCCCTTAAATCCCCCTGGAACCTCGGAAATCCCCCCTGGAATCCCGTGATTCCACCCTGGAACCCCATAAATCCCCTTGGATCCCCTTAAATCCCCTCTGTAACCCCGTGAACCCCCCCTGGAACCCCATAATTCCAACTTGAAACCCCATAAATCTTTGGAGCCCCATGATTCCACCCTGGAAATCCCCCCTGGAACCCCTTAAATATTCCTGGAAGCCCATAATGCCGCCCTGGGACTATATGAATCCCCACCTGGAACCCCATGAATTCCCCTGGATCCCTTTAAATCCCCTCTGGAGCCCTGAGAATGCACTCTGGAACCCTTTAAATCTCCCTGGAACTCCATGAATTCCCCCCTGGAACCCCACGAATCTGCCTATAACCCCTTAAATCTCACTGTAAGTATCCTGGGTCGGGTTGGACAGGGCTTGGAGCACCCTGGGGTGGTGGAAGGTGTCCCTGCCCATGGCAGGGTTGGGACAAAATGAACTTTAGGATCTCTTATAACCCAAACCATTCCATGGTTCTATTTGATGTTTAAGGCTCCCAGCCCCCTGAAGCAGCAAGGCCTGGAGGGTGACACAGTCCTGAGGAGGATCCCAGTTTGGGGACACCCTGATAACCAGTGTGTCCCCAATATGGGACAGCTGTGACTGTCCAGAGTGGAGTCAGGGTGCTGCAGCTTTATCCAAAGTGTGGGATCAGACATCCCAGTTGGGCTGGAGCAGCAAGCTGGCATGCAGCCTGGCCCTGCTCTGTGCAGGCACCACTGGTTTTGCTAGAACAACCCCAAAAGTGCAGCAGCTCCTGCCCTAAATGCACGGTGAGCTCAGGAGATTTCCCAACAAGTTTTTGTTCCCAGTGTGAATTCCTGCGGGGGAGGAGCTGGGTGCAGCCTCCCCTGCTCAATCCAATCCCTGCTGCAGGGCAGGTGGGGGAGGACAGGGTCCCCTCCCTCTGAACAGCATCCCTCAACACCCTGGGACATCTCCCTGCTGGTGGTGGCTCTTCCCCGTTGGGAAGAATGCCGGGATTTTTAGGATTTTGGCCTCTTGACCTTCGCCCACCGAGAAATCTCTCTGTGGCATCGCTGTTGGCCCAAAGAGTGTTGTTTTGGTGTCACACCCATCCTGGGAACCCCAAAAAAATGTGGCTCCACCTCAGGCTGGGGCAACAAAGGGATCTTCTGGATCTCTGGAACAGGCTGCCCAGGGAAAGGGTGGAATCACCATGCCTGGAATTGTTCAGAAAACACAGAGAGGTGGCAGTTGTTGACAGGGTTTAGTGGAGGCCTTGGCATGCTGGGTTAATATTTGGATTTCATTATATTCGGTAGCTTTTCCAAAGTTAATGACTCGGATTTTGGCCATCACTTCTATCCCCCATCCCTAAAACGCTCACCTGCTCCTTCCACCACCTGTGGGTGAAGCTTGTGAAGGAGAAATAGCTTCATTTAAAGGCTAATTATCATTAATCTGTGGCCAAAGGAGGCTTAAAAGGGTGAGCCAATTACATGTGCTAATGTGCTGTGGGTAAGGAGGGCCGAGGGCTGTAATTGGAGCCGGGCTGTGGCCTGAACACCCACGGGCTGTTGGGTGGTATTTCTGGCTGAGGCTGGTCCTGCTCCTGTCAGTCACCTCTGCTGGTGCTGGAAAAGGCAGGAAAGAGCAGCCAAACACGGATCTGTGCAGGAGAGGAGCAGCTGTGAGCTCCTCAAACACCTCCTAGGGAGGTTCACCAAAGGGAGCACGAAAAACCCAGCAAAATTCCACCTTTGGAGCAAGATGGGGCAGCTGTGTGAGCTCAGCAGCTGATGTTACACAAGAGCAATTCCTGCTCCTCCTGTTTCAGCAGGGTGAAGGAGGAGGGGTGCTGCCTTTGCACGTCCTGGCAGTGTTGGGATGGATGCTGCTCTGCCAGGGAGGCACCCCTGGACCTGGTCCCTGTTGTTGGGTGGTCACACTTGTGGCTCTGGGTGCCTTGGTTGAGTTTTTGGGTGTCCTGGCAGTGCAGGAGGTTTCTGTGCCCTGGGAGGGGAGCAGAGGTTCTGCCCACCAGCTTCCCCTCAGCCTCCACCTGTCCCCAGGGACCTTCCCTCCTCAAATCCCTGTGGTGAAATCCTGGATTTGTCTCTCTTTGTCATGGGCTAAATTGGCTTTTTGTCACAGCCCAGACACACACAGGAGCTGCTGCTGGGGGTGGGAATTGTCCTGCTGGAGCTCACAGGACAATCACAGCTCAGCGTGACTGTGATTGTCTGTGCAAGTTCCTCTTCCCGTTTCAGAGCTGGGGAGAACCTTGCGCCATTTGGGGACTCCCCAGCTGAGCATGGCAGGGTGGGGGTGCAGGGCCTGCTGGCAGTGTGGGCACCCATCACCCCCAGGGCTCCTGCACTGCCCTTCCCTGGCCTCTGTTCCAGATGACCTTCTACTTCTCGGACACAGTCGTGCTGCTCTTCGACTTCTGGAGTGTCCACAGCCCCACAGGTAGGCTGCCAGCCCTGGGATATCCATCCATCCATCCATCTCTGTCCGTCCATCCATCCATCCCTGTCCATCCATCCCTGTCTATCCCTGTCCAACTCCATCCATCCATCCATCCCTGTTCCTCCATCCATCCATCCATCCATCCATCCATCCATCCATCCATCCATCCATCCCTGTTCCTTCATCCTTCCATCCATCATCCCTATCCATCCAACACTATCCCTGTCCATCCATTCCTGTCCATCCCTGTCCAACCCCATCCGTCCATCTATCCACCCGTCATCTATCCATCCTTCCGTCCCTGTTCGTTCATCCATCCATCCATCCATCCATCCATCCATTCCTGTCCATCCATCCCTTTATTCATCCCTGTCCCTCCATCCCTGTCCCTCCATCCCTGTCCATCTCTCCATGCCTCCATCCATCTCTATTCATCCATCCCTCCATCCCCTCCCTGCAGAGCTCTGTGGGCCCCTGGAGCAGTTTTTGGCAGGACCTGCCCCTCTCAGCTGATCTGTGCTGTGCCCTGGGCGTGCCCCAGGCAGGGGTTGATCCTGCCAAGCCAAGAGCAGCAGGCAGGGAGCTGTGTGAAGCCCTCAGAGCACTCAGAATTGGCTCAGCTTCCCACTTTCTTTCACTCTTCTTTCTGATTTTGTTTATTCTCCCAACATCATATTTTAACTCCCATGTTCATTGTGGAGTCGATGCAAAGCTGTGTATTTTCACAGCTGCCCTCTAGGACAAGAGGGCACAGCCTTCAGCTGAGCCAGGAGAAGTTTAGGTTTAGTTTATTCTTTTTTCTTAAATTAAGAATTTAGGAAAAATTTCTTCATTGGAAGGGGCTGCCCAGGGAAGAGTCACCTGTCTGGAGGTGTTTAAGGAGGGACTGGATGGGACATTCAGTGCCATGGTCTGGGTGACAAGGTGCTGTTGGGTGAGCTCACAGGTTGGACTCAATAATGATCTCAAACAGCTTTTCCAACCTAATTCTGTGAGTTAAAAAGCTAAATACACAATTTCCTGACATTTAACAATCCTGCTGCCCAGCCCAGTGCCAGGAGCACCCCACATCCCCCCGTAGCTATTCCCAACCCCTCCATGCCAGGCCCTGCTGTGTCCTTGTCACCCCCAGAACTCTCCCCGTGCATGGCAGTGTTGGGGTGTCTCTCGTGCAGGGATGGTGCTCTCAGTGCTGGTGATCCCATGGCAGTGTTGGGGTGTGACGGTGGTCACAGGGGTCTTGGGATGAGGGAAGAGATGTAGGTCTTACTCCATATTTTAGAAGTCTTCATTTATTAAGATACTATTAAATTAAAACTACACTAAAAGAATAGAAGAAAAGGTTCATCTCAGAAGGCTGGCTAGGCTAAGAATTGAAAAGAATGAATCAACAAAGGTTTGTGGCTCGGACAGAGAGTCTGAGCCAGCTGTGCTGTGACTGGCCATTAATTAGAAAAAACCAAATGAGACCAATCACAGATGCACCTGTTGCATTCCACAGCTGCAGATA